TATTTCAATTGGCTTTGATACTAGGAATGTTGTTGATAGGAATCGTTCTAGCTCCAATATTTATTCGATCGCGTCGTCTAGCTCAACAACCAAAGTGGAAAAACCGACGTGCACGTGCCTCCCATAATGGTAGAAAATGGACGGCTTTTGCCATTTATGGTGGTACTGCATTAACCGTCGGGTTTATTGGTCATTGGATGAATTTTTATCTACCAATGAATCCTTATTTATGGTGGGTTTCGGTTGAGGTAGTCCCAAAATTTTATGTTTTCTTCCATATAATTTTAGAAATTATTTTTCACATAGTAATGGGTCCATTTACTTTTTTTAAAAATCAATAGGATATTTAAATACGTTATCGAATCTCCGAAACGAATCGTTATTTGCATATATTGGACAATAATGATAACGATCTCCATTTTTTTGTTTACCAGATATGCATTTGCAAGAAAAATCTGTTCGTTAAATACTAAACGAAAGTTTTTTCATTTTCTGACCGTGTTTATGTTTGTTCCTGGCTATTTGATGGAGGTTAGCGTGCTTCCTCTTAATTCTCAATCACCTCGAAATTTGCACTAATCAAGAGATGAATATTATGTCAGCCTGATTTTATGCACCTGGCATTTAGTGTGGCATTCTCTGTTCTGATATATCTGGAATACTTGCGATATTTTGCGGTATTTCCATTTGGAAAAAAACTTCATATCTTTCTGTGCGAGTTCTTGGACAGTCGTGATGTTGGTCCTTGTATTGTAAGTCACATATACTTACTATTTGGGTGTGCCGCGTGCGTGTGGATGCAAGGGTAATTTATTATTATTTCGCTGTGAAATTCGTTCTTTGTGAAATTTCAAGCAATTTATTCCATCCTGACAATTTTTTTTTTTTTTGTTTTTGACTAATTTTTTAATCTACAGGAACTCGATGTTGGCTAATTTATCTGGAATTCTTACTCTTGGAATTGGAGATGCCATGGTATTTATATCCTCGGTTATTCTCTTACAATTTCACAATGTAAAATAATATATATCTTGTGTAGGCATCTATAATTGGCAAACGCTGTGGTCGACGCCGTTGGCCAGGCACATCTAAAACTGTTGAGGGATCAGTTTCCTTTGTACTTTTTCAATTATTTGGTGCATATGCGATTACTCGGATTTATCCGTTGAATAACATGTGGGCGGGCGATGTAAAAGTGCGTGTTTATTAAAGAATCTTGTTTTACTGAAAAAAATGTTAATATTAGTCAAATGTTAACAAGTTTAATAATTTTCAGTGGGTCGGATATTCTTTTGCGTTATCAGCAACTGGCAAGTATCTACTTTCCGCAGGTATCTGAAGTATTAAAGAAAGTTAACTAATAATGTTTCTTTTAAACAGCTTTGTTGGAAGCGATATCATATCAAAACGATAATCTTATAATCCCGTTGTACATGTGGGCATTAGTCTCTCTCTCTACATGATTTTGTGAAATGGATCTGCGAAAAATTCACTACGTGAAAATCATTAGTCTCTTAATAAACCAATTGTGAATATATTCAATGTAAAATATTGTTAGATCAATAATAAATTTTTTCAGAGAAAAAATTTTATCTGTATATCCTCTAAAAAATACTTCACGATATTTTGTAAAATTTATAAAGGGTCCGGCCTGTAATAAAGTTTTTTGAGCCTCAGATCAAGTGTAAAATCCGATCACGGGAATAAAAGTTCATATTCCTTTTCGTTTGTCATCATAGGCCCAAATGTCAATATTTATTTCAAACCTAAATTTAAAGATTAATGGAAGAAGATAGTGTAATAAATTTTATTTAAAAAAACGAAACACTTGTTAAAAAAGTAGATATTTTATTGAGACGACATTGATGGGAGTTTCGATTCTAGATATACAACATATTATTAACTCCGCACTCACCTGACCATGCATTTTCTTTTGATTAAAACTCAGTGATATATAAATTTAAATTTATATCAATTGCTGTTATACTATTTATTGGATGAAAAAATTTTGAAATTCGCGTTCTTGTTTATATTTTGTTTGATTAATTTACATAATCTTGCTGTATTCACGTGATTTCGGAATTGGAGCCGAAAAGAAAAAAACAATTATAGATTATTTTATTATTTTTTTTTTAATTCATTTTGAATAATGGTTTCTTTATTGGACAGATATAAGATTGAAGCTTTACATGATAACTTTCAAACACATCTTACTTATCTAGCCTGAGCTCTAAGTATACAGGATATAGAAATAGATATATGATATAATAACTATAGACTATTTTGTAATATGAATTTATGAAATAATAACTAATAAAGCTATAGCTAATTTCTTTATAATTTTTTTTTGACAAGCATTAATTAAATACTGTATATGGCTTTTGTTAATCTTTTACCAATTGTTATTATATTAACAATCTTTATAATAACACTTATAAATTAACCATAATTTACTAAAATAAAAATAAAATTTAATTATTTATTATTATTACTATATAGTAAATATATTTTTCTTGAAATTATAAAAATTTTTTTAAAAATATATACAGTATATTAAAAAAAATTTGTCAAAAGTTTTATATTTTTGAAATCAAGTTTAATTAGAGTTTTAAATTAAGTATCAAAATGGTATTAACTTGGTACTAACTTGAAATAAATTTAATATATGGATTATGACCCATTATATTAAACTTATAGTAAATCCAGTACCAATTTGATATCAAAATAATATCATTGGAAATTTTATTAAATACTAAAATTAAATTTTAAATTAATATAATTGATAATTAAATTATTTATATCAAAGTCAAACAAAATTACAATATTAATTATTCATTTGTCAAAAGAATTTACTATTTTATTAATGTAAACAAAGTTTTTATTAAATATTAGTATTATAAAGAATAAAAAAAATATTAATATTAATATAAAAAGCAATAACTCTTTAAACTTATCAAAAAAACAATTAATACTATTTAGTTAATATTTATAAAGAAATTTAAGCTCAATTATAATCTAAAGTAATAACAAATCTTATATTATATATATTGTTAAAATTTATAGATTTTTGATATAATTAATACAATTATTTGAATCTATAGTATAGTGATTAGTGCTTTATATATCAAATTACAAGATATCAGTTTAATCCCAGCCATAGGTAGTAAAAAGGATCTGGTCTTGCATTAGACGTCAAAAGTTAACAAAAGTATAATCTGAGATCTAAGTAATAAGATAAAGAGATACTTGAATTAATACTTCTAATTAAGACTTCTCTAAGCAAAAGCTGAACCTATAGATTAGATAGTTTAAAACTAGTAATAAACTTTCTATATCATATAAGTTCCACCCCAGTAGTTATATAGAAAATTATTAATAATAATAGGTTTCTGGACAACTGGATATAAGATAGGATATAGGATTATTTATATAGAGTATATAATATATTGACTTATATAAGTCCTAAATCTGCAACTATAATTGGTATAAGATATTTATCAATAAAAACCTTACAGATATTGCACTTTTATCTTATATAAATATGCAGTCTGATCCAAAAAAAACTGGAATTTTTTTTTTTAGAAAGATTACTATAAGTTATGCAATTGTTACCTAATTAAATTTTTTTTTGTATAAAAAGGAATCAAAAGTTGTATATTACGTTACCAGTTAATATTTTCTCAATCTTTAATTAGTTTTGTAGGAAAGGCCTTTAGAATATTGGTTGAAAGGAAAATCATCAACGTAAGATTCTATTATATTTGTGAAAAAATGATGTACAGTGTGAGTCAAAATTATTGGAAAATCACTGCGGCGAGATCTGTATAAATTAAACTAACCAAACTCAGACAGGA